AGGGATACGACCGAAACGTCGATCCTATACCTGGGTCCGTAGGTGAAGGCGAAGGGGAAGAGGTTAGCTATTCCATTTTCCTGGACGGTGTGCAGCGAGCAGCGCGGTATGTATACCAATACATGAGCCGATACGCTAGCGGTATATAACGATAGAATGGTGATATGAACGGATTTCACACACAAGTCATGGGAGCCTACCATACCATCTTGATGGCTCATGCGAATCGGCGCTAGTCGACGCGAAGTGACACTAGACCTACGCTAATCGACCCGACATCGGTGCTAACTCATCGATCACCAGACGCTAAGCGACGCCACTGCACTCTGAAAACTGAATTACGAGGCTACAAAAGGCTCGCATGATTGACTACCGAAGGATGCTGTGCGAGGAGGATGGCCCTCAAGGGAGCCCGCGAGTCCTGAGGCGGAGCTGGAAACCCAGACCCCTGACGTCTTGATGATTTACATAACGTCGACCCCCAGATGTCTCGACCCCTTCCCCGTGACTGGTGTTCCATCTCGAGTCGTTGTTTGACGGCCCCGAAGCCTGGTGAGGGCCCTGCGAGGCCGAAAACTATGAAAAGACTCCGTCCAAGAACGGTGTGAGGAGGTTGTAAAGGGGCCCCAGGACACACAAATAAATACACACGCATAAAAATATCCCCCACATGCTCCTATATTTGTTGGGTTGTTGTCTTCCCCCCCACTTCCCATTTTTCCCCTTATTTTCCTGGGAATCGACGATGAATTGTGTCTGTGTGTTTTTTCCCCCTCCTGAGGTTGGCCCTGCAGGAAGCCCGCTCGGGGGCCGCGGGAGCGCTCTCGGGGGTGACCTCGGCGGACCAGGAAGCCCTCCATTTGCGGATTTTCTCATATTTTGGAGGGTTTCGTCTTCTCCCCCACTCCCCATAATTTTCCTATATCTTCCTGGGAATCGACGATGAATTGTGTCTGTGTGTGCTTTCCCCTCCTGAGGTTGGCCCTGCAGCTGGCCATCGCTCGGACGTCCACTCCCTGTGTTTTTCTCGGTTTCGTGCGTGGCTTTTCCGCCAAGTGATCAAGGATGCTCCAGATTTCGTAAAGGGAGGGGGTCTGGACCTTCCAAGACAAGCCATTTCAGACCTCCCCCGTGGGAGAACCCTCCAAAACGTCGTCCCCAGACCCCCCCAGGCCCTCCAAGATAGCCTGGAAGAGACCCCCCCCGAAATGAGACCCCCCTCCCTTTATTACGAAATCTGGAGTGCTCCTCGATGGCCCTCGCCGAAGGAAAAATGCACACGCCCGAGCGATGCCAAGAGGAAGCCCGCTCGGGGGCCGCGGGAGCGCTCTCCGGGGGTGACCCCGGCGGACCACCGAAGCCCTCCGTGGGCGGCCGGCGCGGGAGCTCCCGGGGTGGCCGAGGCCGGAGCCGACTTTAGGGGGGGGGTGCGACGGGTAGGGGGAGGGAGGGGGAAGGAGGAGGACGCAGGAGGAAGGAGGATAGGGATAGGGATAGGGATAGGGATAGGGATAGGGATAGGGATAGGGACAGGGACAGGGATAGGGACAGGGACAGGGACAGGGATAGGGATAGGGATAGGGATAGGGATAGGGATAGGGATAGGGACAGGGATAGGGATAGGGATAGGGATAGGGATAGGGATAGGGATAGGGATAGGGATAGGGATAGGGACAGGAGGAAGGAGGAGGACGCAGGAGGATAGGGAGGAGGATAGGGATAGGGATTCGTGGGGGGTACGACAGGAGGAGGGAGGAGGAGGACGCAGGAGGACAGGCATCTTGCACGGCTCAGGGAGCAGGAAGGAGGAGGACGCAGGAGGATAGCCATCCTTAGGGGGAGAACGAACCTCCCTCGCTTTTGACCACCCTCGCCTCCACAAGAGATACCAAGCGATGCCAAACTACGGCCTGTGCTGGTCAGGCCGCCTGACGAGGAGGCGAGTGGTATGACTTGGTTTTGCCTGGAAGCGAAAGCGGGGTAGGTAATTCACGCTCTGAATATTGCACGGCTTAGTGATGAATGTCTCGACTTCCTTGCCGGCATCCTCAGGGCTCGTGGGCTCAGTGCTCATGGCCTGCCGCCATCGGAAGACTGCCCATCGGTCGGAAGAAGTCGGTACAACCATGAAGTAGGAAGGCGTTGGGAATAGAACGGATTTCCGCCCGCCTCCTTGAGAGGAGGGAAGAGGGAAAACCACTCGACTGTTGAAGTAGGAAGGCGGCGAAAGTACATTGGGAACTGGGGGGAGTCCGAACATGCCTACTCTCAACGAGCGATGGGTAACCCTCTCCCTGGTCGCCACGCGGGATAGAAGAGCCAGGCCGCACGCACTCCTCCCCACGCCTGTCCGCATCCGGGAGGCGGTGAGAGACCCTCTGACTCGACGGCGGGAAGGCCAGCACCAACGAGATTACGACTGGGCCGCACCAGGCAGGAGCAGCGAGAGCCACATTTGGAGAGCAGCGCTGGACGACGAGTCGCTGCAGGGAACCGGCCCCCCTTCTCCACTCCGCCACTGGCCTCCTCGACCTGGAGAAAGCATATGAGTAGATCTCGCTCGCTCTGATCTGGTTTCTTAGTATGATGCACGAAGTACCGATGTGCGGGCTGGCTTCGTCTCTCGAGTCCTTTGTTTTTCCGAGGGCTGTCAGAAACGGACAGGCCGTTGCCAGCTCAGCGTGCACGATGGTGGCCTCCCGGCTGGATCCGAGTTCGCCAATAGGTTCCTGAAGGTGGTGCTGTACCCGTTGCTGGACTGGGTTAAGGCATGGTCGGGAGCCAAGCTCGACATCACAAAGTACGCAGACGACATCGCGGTCAGGGTACAGGGGGATGCGCGTAGCCAGAGGAAGATGGCTGAAGGCTGCTTCACTCAACCGCCGTGGGGTGCGCGTCAGGCCAATCATTCAGCAGGGCCTCCAGGCGTCTATTGCTTACGGCGCCTCTTGCAGAGGGTCCTCCCCATGCATCGTGCTGTACGCGCAAGTGTCGGAACCTTCCGGTCAGGTACTTGGGGCTGGGCACCGGCATCGCGCGCGGACGGAGCTGAACATAGACGCACGCCACATATATTTATATAAATATAATCTATACACAGACACCATCCGACAAACTTTGCATGCACCTTCAGGGAGGGGACGGTGTATTGATACGCCGCCACCCTCCCCTGAGGCCCAGGAACAATCCAGTGGAGGGTGCTTGTGGCGCTCCATTTGCGTTCGTGCTTCTTCTGGTTCTGCGCCCAAGGTGCAGAGGGAAATGTGCTGAGGCTGCGCTGTGACTTGGGGTCCAACAGCTGCGCCTCGTCCATGTCCTCCTCCTCATCCTCCTCCTCCTCCTCCTCCTCCTCCTCCTCCTCCTTGGGCGGCTGCGTCTCCTTCACAAGGAAGCTGGGCAGCGTCATAGGGCCCACCAGCGACGCCATCGCCTCGCTCTCGTGCCTCCGCCAAGGCCTCGCTCTCCGCCGGCCCGAAGGGCTTCGGCTCCTGCTCGGAGAGGCTGGGCTGCGCCAAGAGGTCCACCTGCCGCGCCGCCTCCTGGCTCGCCGGCTCCCTGTGCTCCTTCTGCTTCGCCCAGCGCTGCCAACGAGTGTGCTTCACGACCTGTGGGAAGCTCTCCTCCTGCTCCTCCGTCTCCAGCGCCCCGGCCGAGATGCCCTGGAGGATGTCCAGCGCCGCCTCCTGCGGATGGGGCCTGGCTCCCCACCACCTCCTCAGCAGTGGCGCCAACCTCGCCGGCGGCGGCGTGCAGCCCGGCCCGAAGATCTTCACCGACACCGTCGACCGCCTCTCCAGGCTGACCCGCTTCTCCCCACGGCTCCCCGCCGGCGCCATCGGCTGCTCCGCGAAGCTTCCCTGCTTCATCTCCGCGAGCTGCGGAGCTCCCCAGCACCCCCGCGGCGAGCTCCCCAGCACCACCTTGAGCTCCGCCACCTTCGGCACCTCCGTGCTGGGCGGCTTCCACGGCTTCGCGACCCAGTCCTGCACCTCTAAGGGGAAAACAAACCTACCTCGCTTTTGACCACCCTCGCTTCCAAGAGATACCAAACGATGCCAAATTGCAGCCTGTACTGGTCAGGCCGCTTGACGAGGGGGCGCGTGGTATGGCTTGGTTTTGCCTGGAAGCGAAAGCGGGGTAGGTAATTCACGCTCGCCCAGCTTGTCAGCCGACGCCACGAGCAGCTGCCGCTGGAACAGCGACGTCGGGCCCTCCGAGCCCTGCAACGGCCAGGTGGCCCTCGCACGCGGCCCCGGCTTCGCTCGCGACCTCTGTGAAGCCGTCACCGCCGTCGCCGACGTAGCACTCGCCGCCCAGTGCCCTGCCGACACTCGGCTGCGGCGAGGAGGTGTCACGGGCGCCGCCATCGATGGCGAGCTGCGCCTGCTGCACGTTGGCTCCCTCGAGGAGGGCCGACAGACGCCTGCCGAACTCCCGCGAAAGGCTCGCGGAACCCACGCGGATGACCAGGCGGTTCATGCCGCTTCGCGCATCGCCATGGCTCCGGGCCGCTGCGCCACTTTCAATCGCGCATCCCGAACGGCCCCCCTCCCGCGGGAGACCTGGAAATGGCTTGAGCCAAAATGGCTACGGAAAGGAGGAGGAGGAGGAGGAGGGGGAGGGGAGGTGTAGAAGGGGAGAAGGAGGAGGAGGAGGAGGAGGAAAAGGAAGAGGAAGAGGGGGAGGAGGAGGAGGAGGAGGAGAGGAGGAGGAGGAGGAGGAGGAGGAGGAGGAGGAGGAGGAGGAGGAGAGGAGGAGGAGTACGACGACGACGACGACGGACGACGACGACGACGACGACGACGGACGACGACGACGACGACGACGACGACGACGACGACGACGCGGCGGCGGCGGCGGCGGCGGCGGCGGCGGCGGCGGCGGCGGCGGCGGCGGCGGCGGCGGCGGGCGGCAACGGCAACGGCTACGGCAACGGCAACGGCGAGGACGGCGGCAGCGGGCGGCATGCGGTGGCGGCAGCAGCGACAGCGAGCGGCGGGCGGCGACGGCGGCAACGGACGACGGCGGCGGAGGGCGGTAGCGGGTGGCGGCGGCGCGCGCTGTCTTGGAGACGCCGCGTCGCGCTGCGCCCAGCGGCCGATTCAGGGCCGGGGGGCGGCCGGCGGCCTGGTGCCGCGGCAAGGACGGCCGACGGCGGTCCTGAGCTCGGGCATCCGCGCGAGCTCCGGGAGGTCCTGCGGCACAGGGTGAGCCCCTAGACAGCCCAGGATGGCCCCAGGAGGGCCCCAAGCTACCCCAAGAGGAGGGCCTCGGGACCCAAGACGGCCTTGGAGACCCCCTCGACGAAGCATGTCGCTGCTGGCGGGTACAGTCAACAAATGCCAGAGGGGAGTCTACGGGACCCATGGCTCATTGAGCCTCGCGGGCCCGTCTCGACGCTGGGCCTCCTCCTCCTCCTCCTCCTTCTCCTCCTCCTCCTCCTCCTCCTCCTCCTCCTCCTCCTCCTCCTCCTCCTCGTTCCCTCCCTCCCTCCCTCCCTCCTCCCTCCCTTCCCTCCCTCCCCCCTCCCTCCCTCCCTCCCATTCCCTCCCTCCCCCTTTTCCTCCTCCTCCTCCTCCTCCTCCTCCTCCTCCTCCCCTCCTCCTCCTCCTCCTCCTCCTCCTCCCCCTCCTCTGAAGGGAGGATGGGGGACGGGAAGGGATGAAGGGGGGGCGAGGGGCGAGGGGCCCCCCTCCTCCTCCGCTTCCTCCTCCTCCCTCCTCCTCCTCCTCCTCCTCCTCCTCCTCCTCCTCCTCCTCCTCCCCCTGCTCTGAAGGGAGGCGGGGAGCGGGAAGGGAGGAAGGGGGCGAGGGGGCGAAGGGCCCCCCTCCTCCTCCGCTTCCTCATCCTCCTCTTCTTCTTATTGGTGTTAGTATTGTTATTCTTATTAGGTGCAGTATTGTTATAATTAGTGTCAGCAGTCTGATTCTTTTGATAGCATTATTCGTATGCTTGTTGATCGCATTATTCGTATGGTTATTGATATTCGTCTTATTACCATTATCATACTTATACTTATTCGTCGTATTGATATTATTTATATTCGCATTAGTAGCATTATTATGTTCTTAGTTTGCTCATTGTTTCGTATTAATAGTCGTACCAATATTATTCTTATCATTATCAGTAATAGCATGATTCGTATTAGCACTCGTATTCGCATTAGTATTAGCATTAGTATTATTATGCGCACTCGTATTATTATGATTAGTATTAGTGGTATTAGTATGTTTAGTATGGTTCGTCTTCTTATTATTCCTCGTCTTCGTATTATCACTACTACCATTATTAGTATTATTATTAGTATTATGCTTCTTCTCATGTTTCTTCTTCCTCCTCCTCCTCCTCCACCTCCTCCTCCTCCCGAGGAAGAGGCAGAGCCCCTCCGGCGAGCTCGGGGCCGGGGGGGGGGAGCCGCGACGCCGACCAGGCAGGCCGGCGACCCGCTGTTCCGGGAGTTCGAGCGCGTGCGGGCCCCGGCGCCAGCAGAGGTGGACAAGCGCCGCGTGGCGACAGACATCCGACGTCTCGATGTTTTCGAGACGCGGGCCCCCGACCTCCCGACCACTTCCCCGGGACCGGTTTTTCATCCCGAGTCGTTTTTTGACGGTCCCGAGGCCCGGCGAGGGCCCCGGGAGGCCGAAAATAACGAAAAACCTCCGTCTCGATTTTTTCGAGACGACCGATGTCTGGGGTTGCGGAGGCTCCCAGACGGGAATCTTCCTTCAGACCGGGTTGTGCTGTACTGGGCATACACCCACCCGGCGGGCAGCCCTGTTATATGGCCGCCGGCAAGCGGTGCCACGTCCCGCAGCAGGCCTCCGACCCCACGGGAGTGCTGCAGCAATTGGGGCGCAAGGTGCACGCGTCCGCCGGCGCGGGGGCCACGGACCAGATCTTGGCCCAGATCGAGGCCTGGACCGTGCCCTGAAACAGTGGCAACCCGCCCGCTGCCTGGGCGGCCAGCGGTCAGCCGAGGCTTCCGAGCCTGCCGCCGCTGCCGCCGGCAGAGTGGTCGCCGCCCCCGGCGTCTGACTGAGCAGGCAACCTTGCCCCGCGGTAGGACCCCTCGGCAGAGCCTTCCCCTCCCGCCTCTTCCCTCTCCCCCTTTGCTCCCAGGGTGCGGCCCCGTGCGCCCAAGGAGTGGCAGGCAGAGGTTGTGCAGGACATCTGCCCCGCCTACCCACCACCTTTTGTAGGTGGTCGTAATTCATTTAGGTGTCGTATGTAGCCGTTCTGGAGCCATGCTCCCTCCATGCCCCTCTCCTCCCGCTCTAGCCTCTTCCCCCCCCCTCCCGGGCGCGCCCCCCCGAGTCCTCTGCAGATCGACGGCGCCACGGTCACAACCGACATCGCCCTGCCTTCTCCCCCTCCCGCCCTCCCGCTCCGCAGGGCTGGGTTGGGTCGGGCCGGGCCGAGATGGTCTGCTCCCTCCCCGCCCCCTCGTTGCGGGGTAGGGTTGGGCGGGTCGGGTTCGGGCCGAGGACGTGGGAAGCCCAGAGTGGCAGTGCAGGCTGCGCCGCGGGAGCGCCCTGAGATATGGTCCGGCCCCGCAGGCCGCGTGGCCTTTCCGCCCTTCCTCTCCTTGCCCGCTCTTGTCTCTCTTGTCCCCCGCTTCGTCTCCCCCCCGTCTTTTTCTCTCCTCCTCCCTGCCTTTGCCCTTCTCCCCCCCCCCCCCCCCCGCCCCCCCCCCCCCGACCGCCCTCGGGCCTGGGCCCTGCTCGGGGCGGGGGTCTGCACCCGACCGCGGGAGAAGGCGCGTGCTCCGGTGCCCGTTTCGGGAGCTTCTGCTCGCCGTGGTCGCGTCGCTGTTGCTGTCGCTGCCGTCGTTCCGTCGTCGTCGTCGCTGTCCGTCGCGCCGTTGTCGCTGTTGTTGTGGTCTGCGCCGTTGCGGTTTGGTGCGGCCGGCGCCGCTGCTGCCGTCTGTCTTGCTGCCGCTTCGAGGTCCACCGACGGCCTTCCTCCGCCGCTTCCGTTCCGGGCCGGGCCTTCTAGGGTTCTCGGAGGAGGCGGTCGTGGAGCTGTGCCCTCCTGTGGCCCTGGATGTCTCGATCCTGCGCGGAGGCTGTGGCCGAAGCCTGTCGGGTGCTCTGCCTCCCTTCTCTCTGTTCCTCTTGGGTCTGGATCGAGGGCCGCCCGAGGGCCTTCGAGGGCTTCCCGAGGGTTCTCGAGGGCCTCCGTGAGCTTCCCGAAGGCCTGCCGGAGCCCTGGGAGGTCGTCGGCGGGTTTCCGCTGGGCTTTGGAGGCCCCCGGAGGCCATCGGAGGCCCTCGGCGCCTCCGCTATGTCCTGGGAGCTTCGGAGGGCCTCCGGAGGCTTCTCGGCGGTTAGGCCGGGCGGTCTGGCCGGGCGGTCTGGCTGTGAGACGTTGTGATCCTGTGCTCCGGGGGGGTGGTGCCCATGCGGATCTGAGGGTAGGGTTGCGGCAGCGAACGCCTGCCTCTTGCTCTCCCCCTTCCCCGCTCCAGCGCCCCCTTCCTCCCTGTCCCCCCCTCCCTCCCCCCCTCCGCCCGGCAACCCGGGTGGTCGGGTCGGGTGGGGCCGGGGTGGGCCTCCCTTTTCGCCCCGTCCTCTCTCCCACTCTTTTCCTTTCTGGGGTGGCTTTCTCTCCCCTTCCTGTCTCTCCCCCTCCCGCCCCCCCGCTCTGCCTAACGCTGCAGAGCCTCCCCCGCTCACCCCCTTTCCTTCCCTCCCTCCGTTCCTCTCTCCCTCCCTCCCACCCCCCTTCCGCCCAGAAGCCCGGGTGGTCGAGGCGGGTCGGGCCAGGATAGGCCTCTCTCTTCGCCCCATCCTCTCTTCCTCTCTCTTTCTCTCTGGGGTGGCTTTCTCTCCCCTTCCGATCTCGCCCCCTCCCGCCTTCCCTCTCCTCTGCCTGGCGCTTCTGGGGGGGAACGGTACCCAGACCGCTGCTCGTTCTGGGGTCCCTCTGTCGCCACGGCTGGATTCGCCTCGGAGCTCTGGTCCTGCCCTGGGGCGCAGCGGGAGCAGTATTTTTCTCCCCGTGGGCTCCTGGCAGGCGGGCCGGGTCGGGCTGGGCCCTTTTTTCCCCCCTCGGGGTGGCTCCCTTTCCCAACTCCTGTCACCGTCCCGTACCTGCGGGGTACGTCGACCAGGCAGTGTAGTGGGGATCGGACGAGCTCCAGGCAGGTGCTCCCTGCCTGGCCCCCCCCCCCACGTTGCGGGGAGTCTCTGAGTTGCCTCTGCTGCTTCGCTCTGGCCGAGGCTCTGGGCGGAGGTGTTGGCTGGAGCTGTGAGGTCCTCCAGAGGCTGGTGGGTTTTCCTGAGTCGGGGCTGTGCCCCCCCCCGGCGCCTTGGCGCCGCTCCTGGGGCTCGTGTTAAGCGCAAGGGGTGGGGTCCAGCGCCGACCCAAGAATTCCGCCTAGGCCCCCGAAAGAGCTGAAGCTTTCGCCTACCCTCCCCCCGTCCCCTCCAGTGCTGGCGCTTTGTCTTCCAAAGCCGTCACAGCAAGGTCGCTTCCGAACCCTCTCCGGGTCGTGGCTCCTTGCTAAAAGGAAGCGCCGTTCGACGCCTCCGCCGCCAGCTCAAAGGGACCACACCTACCTACCTACCTACCTACCTACCTACCGACCCACCCACCCACCCACCCACCCACCCACCCACCCACCCCACCCACCCACCTTTTCCTTTTACCCACCCACCCACCACCTACCTTCATTTTCCTGCCCTTCCTTCCCTTCCGATCCTTCCTTCTTCCTTTCCTCCATTCCTCTCCCTCCCTCCCTCCCTCCCTACTCCTCCCTCCCTCCCTCCCCTCCTCCCTTCCTCCCTTCCTCCCTTCCTTCACTTCCTTCTTCCTCCCTCCTCCCGTCCTCCCTTTCCTCCCTCCTCCTTCTCCCTCTCCCTCCTCCTCCTCCCTCTCCCTCCTCCCTCCTCCCTCCTCCCTCTCCTCTCCTTCCTCCTCCTCCTCCCTCCTCCTCCTCTCCTCCTCCAACTCCTCTCCTCCTCCTCCTCTTCCTGCTCCTCCTCCTCCTCTCCTCCTCCCTCCTCTCCTCCTTCCTCCTCCTCCTCCTCCCTCCTTCCTCCTCCTCTTCCCACCTCCTCATCCGCTCCTCCTCCTTCCTCCTCCTCCTCCTCCTCCTCCTCCGCCTCCTCCTCCTCCTCCGTTTCCTCCTCCTCCTCCTACATCGCCATCCCCTGTTCCCTATCAATACATGTTCCTGGTGGCGCACCCAGACGTGTCGGCAGGGCGGGTCGAGAGCTTTTCCTGATAGTTCCTCACCGCTCGTGACACTGAAGCTTCAAGAATGGAGCGCGGAGCGTTTTCAAAGTGTAGATCTGCCCTAGCTAGCGAACACCCGCATTAAAGTCTGCAACCGTTGCAAGGATGGAGGGCGGGTCGTTTTCAGGATCGAGTTCTCGCCTTAGCGCCGCGCGCCAGTTCCTTCTAAGCGTCCAACAGCCTCTCAAGGATCTAGGAGACCCTTTCCCACATGGAATTATTGCCATAGCGCCGCGCACATTTGTCCTAGGAGCTTGCAACAGCTTCAAAGATGTAAGTAAGTAGGCGTCCTCCTTTTCAAACCTGGGCTTTCGCCTTGGCGCCGCGCACATTCGTTCTAACATCTTGCAACACGCACAGGGAGTGTGAGCGGATCGTTTTCAAAGTGGAGCGTTGGCTTGAGACTTCTGCAAGTCTTTAAACAAAATAATCGAACATACGCAATAGCTGCACGAATGAAAGGCGGGATCAGATACTTGAGCAGATGGTACAGCTACACGGACGGAAGGAGGCTGCTTTTCCAACATCAGGTGTCCGCCTGAGACTCCTCGACGCCCATGGCCAGAAATGAAAACTTGCGCATCAATTTCACAGATGGGGGCGGCCCCTTCTTTTGAAACCGGAGAAATGGCTGGACACCTCTTCCAACTGTATGCTCAACCGCCACCATGCCGTCAGGAACCGAGTGGAGTGTCCTCCTTTACGTCAAGAGGCCCACGGCTCGAAGTTCCGGGAGCTCCTGGACGCTCCCGGGGTCTTGTGGCATAAACCTTCGGAGCCAAGAGGGGCCCCGGACGGCCCAAGAGGGCCCCACGAGATCCCCGAGACAGTCCCAGAGGGCCCCGAGTTGCCGAAACATGGGTCCAAGTCGCTCAAGATGGCCCCAAGACGGCCCAAGCGGCACTCAAGAAGCCCCAAGATAGCGCCAAGAGCACGTCCAACGGGGCCACGAGAGGCCAAAATCTAGTACTCCCCTATGGTTTTTGCAAGCTCGCTTCTTCATGCCCTCATCGCTCCAATACCCACCGGTCGGAAGAAGTAGGTAGAAACATGAAGTAGGAAGGCGGAAGAAGTAGATTGCATTCGGGGCCGCCCAAAAAAACAACAGCAACAGCAATTACAAGAAGTAGATTGCAAATTTCCGGGCCCTGTCTCAGCGGCGCGCAGTAGCGCTAGGTCGCTTGGCTCCTCGGATGGCCCCATTCCTTGGCTGGTTTCGGTTGTTCTGGCTTGTTTTCGTGTGTCCGTCGATCGCAGTGGCAGCCTTTCGGTCGCTCGGCCCTTCGGCTGGCCAAATGCGTTGGTTTTGTTTGTTTGTGTTTGTTTTCGCTTGTCCGTCGGCTGCACTGGTCGCCCAGCCCGCCCGCGCCTTTCGTCGGCTCGGCCCATCGCTGGCCAAATGCTTTGTTTTGTTTGTTTTTGTTTGTTTTCGCTTGTCCGTCGGCTGCACTGGCCGCCCCCGGCCCGCCCGCAGCCGTTCGGTCGCTCGGCCCCTCGGCTGGCCGAATTCACTGGTTTTGTTTGATTCTGTTTGTTTTCGCTTGTCCGTCGGCTGCACTGGTCGCCCTGCGCACGCCCGCCGCCCCGCGGTCGCTCGGCCCCTCGGCTGGCCCCATTCCTTGGTTTTGTTTGTTTTTGTTTGTTTTCGCTTGTCCGTCGGCTGCACTGGTCGCCCCAGGCCCGCCCGCCGCCCCGCGGTCGCTCGGCCCCTCGGCTGGCCCCATTCCTTGGCGTTCTTTGTTCCTGTTTGTTTTCGCTTGTCCATCGGCTGCACTGGTCGTCTCAGGCCCGCCCGCCGCCGTTCGGTCGCTCGGCCCCTCAGCTGGCCCAATTCCCTGATGTTGTTT